TAACAGCTTAGTGGTTACTGTTCTCAATAAATAAACAATTAATAATTTATTTAAACATATAATTGTGTATAGATCGAAAGTGTTAATTTTGTACATAACTACGATAACTATAAATTAATTATTGATCTTAATTAAGTAATTTAGTATTTGTATTATAAGATTTTACAAAAAACTGTTGAAAATACGAAAATTGATTATAATTGAAATGTTATTAACTAATTTATGTAATTCTTTTCATGAATTACTTCTACTAGATATAAGCTTGATCTATGTAAAATTTTATTATTATTTTATTGTAAATATTGCGCTATCCCGTTAATTAACTTTATTAGTTAATAACTTTTGACGATACTCTTTGCGATAAGTGTAAATTATACTCAAATAATCTATATCTACTTCTGTAAAATTTACATGTTTTAGAATTTTGTTATTATTGTTTATTCTCTTGTAAATGAGAAAAAATGATTTCTCACAATTGCGTAAACAACTTAAAGAGAGCTGTCCTGCGAAAATAGGTGGGAAAATTTGTGTATGAATACGCGGATTTTGGCACAGGCTAGCATTCACTCATAGCTTTACAAAGTGAGCGCTCGAGATCGAATAAACATGGCTAATACCTTAGTTCTTTCTCTCAAGTGATTAACTGAGTAAATCCTTTCTTTCCTATTGTAATTTATGCTCGACTCATAGAACACTTCGCGCTATGAGAAACTTGGGCTGAATAGCATCCTTTTATAAGAAAGACTTAAGCTCTGCTTATGAGACACTTCGCACCATAAAAAACTAAGGTAAAGTCTGTCTTTCCTTAAAATCCAATTCATATAATCATAGATATTCATTTATTATTTTATTTCAAAGTTAATATTTAAAATTTTTTTTGAAAATTAAAACAATTTCTTACTCATTAACGCGACAGACCACGAGAGTACGAACAATAATATAAATAAAAGGTGATACGAACATTACAACTAATGTGCTAAAATGGGTGTGTTAATAAGCACAATTACAGGATTATAGTACGAGTATATCAATGTTTTCAAGACTTTTTTAACTTTTTTAACCCTTAGCATTGAGCCCTGGAACTCTGTGACCACTCGTTTTCTCTCTTTTTCCGAGCTCTATTAAATGGTCCTACTCGTTTATTTTTTACGATTTTTTAAACCACCCTCTTGGCGATTGTTATCCTCAAAAACATCTCTTACCCCTCAATTTTCCGAATTTCCGATAGCGTTTTCTTGATTTCAACCAATATTCAGGGGGCTGTAAAGGAACTGTTTTTTAAATTCGTACTCTTTCCCCGAGGAAATCGCCCTTGTAAGCTTGATTCAGGAGTTTGATACCATGAGATTCGACTTAAAAAATTGAATAAAATGGCACAATTAATTTTTTCTTTATTAATAATTAGATAGATAATCGCGATTCAATGTTTTTGATAATGTTATACTCATCACAAATGACTACAATATTTAGTTTAATTTTTACATAACAAAAATTATATTTAATTTTAATAAGAATTCATGGAAAAAAGCCGAATGAAATATATATGAATGTAATTTAATGAGTAAATACAAAATTAATAGAAACATTAATGAAATTTGAATCTGGTGTAGAAGACTAACAAATTGTCAGCAACAATAACTTCACATTATTTATCCAACCTAATTGACAAAACGCGGCTAGCGTATTGCATTCGCTGACATCGTAATTTTCTCCTTTGTGTTGTGGAAGTTGTGTGACGTGGCAGAATTTAGTGTTGTGGCGTCAAATAATTTAAGACGCATCAACGGGAAACACGAAGTCAAATTCGGGCGAAAATGGTTTGACGTAGATTTGGTGGTAACGAACGGTAAGTAAATATAAACATACTCGTGCACAACACGTAGGACACACGTGCTTGTAAGCTCGCATACAATCACGCACCTGCGTACGTTCGCACACGCGCCAACCATATATTTATTAAAATTAAAAAATTATATTAAAAAATTGAAACCTATAATTGAGAATATTATTTAGATGATGAGGGTTATTTAAACAGTTTGGAGGTTTCGACTGATGGGAAAGTGATTCATCGAGATATCGTAGGTACAATGAAAGTAATTTAAATAAAAAATTAATACGTAATTTATAATAATTAAAGATATTTCTTGCAGGGCTGGAAAATAATGAAGAGGAGATAATTTTAAGAAGAATTCCGAGAAAGAAGTTTGCTGGAGTGGAACCCTGAAAACGGCAAGGTATTAAGGCGCAAGCTCGTACACAGTATATGCACTCACACGTGCTCGCGTGCACATATTCTCGGGCACGCTTTCAAGCTCACATACCAAACATGTTTGCACACAGATCCGTCTAGATTTTCAAGCTCGTACACACGCGCATACTCGCCGACAACTTGCATTCATACACACGTTTGCACATTCAACTGATATTGAGAGAATAGTATGTACTATATTGTAACAGAATGTATTATTTATTATTGTTATAGCTATGGCTTTGCGATGCTTGCGCGGTTTATAATATCCAAATTGAGTTGGTCAACATAACCGCAAAATAAAAATATAACAACCAAAAGATAGTCAACAAATTAATGCAGTTAATAATTGAGAAGGAAGAGTTCCGTCGTACGGTTCCAACTAGGAAAGTCGGCACGGTGGCTATTCCCAAAGTTATTTACGACGGAGTGTTGGGTAAATAGATAACTTATAAAATAATATTATAAAAAACATTATTCTTCCTTTTCTTATGTCCCAAAGTTGGTTCACGAAAAGGTTTGTAAAGCAGAAAAGATCTTGGCAGCAACGTATAGGCTTGTGCTGACAAGATTATGTGACAATGTGCGGAGATCTCAAAAATAACTTTTTTTCACAGATTTGTTTGTTTGTTTTTTGTTTGTTTCTTTGTTCTATAAAGTTTTATTTAAAGAGATATAAAAATTATTTATTTTATTGAACATTATTTATGTAAATTAATTTTTCAAGTCATTTTCTATTATTTTTACTACTATTCTGTGACTTTCTTACGACTTTTTTACGATATTTCTACGACTTTTCTACGACTTTTCTACGACTTTTCTATGACTTTTCTACGACTTTTCTACGACTTTTCTACGACTTTTCTACGACATTTTTCGACTTTTTTTACGACTTTTCTATGATGTTTATACGACTCTTCCTTGACCTGTTTACGAATTTTTCCTTTACGAACTTTTCTACGAGTTTCCTTTTAGGGCATAGGTTAAGATAGTATTGAATTTTAATGTGAAAATTAAATTTATTTATAACTTTGTAAATGTTAATTATTGTAAAAAAGCAGATACTCTGAACTCAAGATAACTATTTTAGAAACATAAGTAAGAATTCGTTTCATTGACAACAACTTAATTATTATTGTTTTAATAAATAAACAATTTATAATTTATTTAAACACATGAGCGTATATAAATCGAAAGCGTTAATTCTATACGTAATGACAACATTGTCATAATTTATTAATTTTAATTAATCAATTTTATATTTACATTATTACATTTTGTAAAAACACGAAAATTAATTATTATTCAAATATTATAAACTAATTTAAGTAGTTCTTTTTTGAAATTATATCTATTGTAACGGGGGAGGTTATCTAAAAAATGAGAAATTTATTTAAGAACAAACTCCCACGATGCAGAGCTAACCGCCGCTCCGTTAAACACGTATGATTGTACGTGTATTCGCCTTTACGTCAGATGATTTCGCTTAAGTGTCTTCTATCGAACGGAGTTGAACTAACCTTAAGTCACGTGACTTGTGACACTCGATGAATCTTATGTGTGGGTGATTTTACGCCTAATCCACTTAATCCCCTAGATGTAATCGGATTAAGGCCTTAGCCTTTTACAAATCGCTTAAGCTACTGGGAAAATTAAATGACGTAATCGGCGAATAAATTTGACTAACTTTAATTAATACAAATAACTACAGCCTTTATTGAGCCGAAAGACTAACGCTCGCGAACAGAATTTTACAATGAATATTATTCGGTGAGAAAGAGAGAGAGAGAGAGAGAGAGAGAGAGAGAGAGAGAGAGAAGATTTGAATTTTACCGCGAACTAACGCTCGACGCGAATACAAAAAAATCGCTATCACGATTGACAAAATACCAAATGTATTTTGTCACGCAAAAATGACGTGAGGTGCACCTACCGTGCGGTGCAATTACGGTGATCAGCCGTAATTGTTGATGAAATATATCAACTGTCGTTGCCCTCCTATTTATCAGCTGCGCTGCCTCGATCTGCCTCTATCAACTTTTATACTGCTTCTGCACTGCTGCTGTTAATTGTCACGGAAATGCCGTTGCACTCACGCACGTAATTGTCCCAAGAAAACTTTATATCGGCGAAACAAAGTGCAAAACACAAATCGACGGTAAAGTCGCGTGAACAGCTGAGGCGTAACTGTTTAATTTAAGTGCTCGCGCGCCCCCTCTCTCTCTTAATTGTTCGCACTAACGCGCGAGTTACCCAAGACTTTCATGGGAAATTTATTTGATAACTCAGTTTTGACCCTTTCTTGTCCTTTTCTATTCTTTCCGTAGATCAACAAATCGTCTACGAACAATATCAAATAGATTTCATCATCTTTTGTATTTTTTGTAAACAAACAATAATTACTCTAAATTCGTTCCAAAATTCAATTTTTTAATATGATCATCAAAACATTCGGACCAAGCTCTTGGGCTTTCTCGCAAACCATACAGAGCTTTTTCAAGCTTATATACTGTTATATATGCAGTTACATATAGTTAAATAATGAAACAGGTTTTGGATAAAGAAGATGATGGTATTTATTAGTAGAGGTGTACGGAGGAAAATACATATGTTCGGCGTGAGAGTCTACGCGAGAGTGAGTCGGTACCTTAAGGTATAGCTTGTCAACTACAACCATATCTATCTATATTAGCTATCTCTCAAACTACTAACAGTCGTGCGTAATTACGACTTTATACCCTTTTAACATACATCACAACTCCTCCCGCTTTAAGTATTTGTTTTCTGCGCTTTTTGACGCCAAACGCTCGGAACGTCTTACGGCTAAATCAGCTTTACAATCAATCAGTTGGTCGCAGTGACGCTTATGCATTTTGTCGTCAATTTTGACCTTAAATGTCGACGGCGTTAAGCGTTCTACAATTTCTGCCGGTACACGTTTTTTATTACCGGCATTGTACACATCTGCCAAAACGGTATCGCCAACATTTAGTGCAGGGTTTCGAGAACCGCTACAATTCCTTATTTGCGCCTCTTGCTTTCCTTTGACTGTGACGTCTGCGCTCGGACGCAACTTATCAAAACGCGTTCGTAGCTGCCGTTTATACATTAAAAATGCAGGGCTTTTGCCTGTAGTGCAGTGCGAGATACTTCTGTAATCGAACAGGAAAATATCTATTGCTTCATCCAATCCTCTTCCTCCTTTTACAATTTTATTTATTTTGTCTTTAAAAATACCGACGAAATTTTCAGCTGCACCGTTAGTCGCTGGATGATACGGTGGAGAAAAAGATTGTTTAATACCTAATTCTGACAAAAATTTTTTAAATTTTTCGCTTACAAATTGTCTACCGTTATCGGAAACGATATGTTCCGGTAATCCATGTCTCGCAAAAATTTTTCTCATACTACAAATTAATTTTTCCGCAGTTGTGTCCGTCTTAAAATCTATAATCTCTGGCCATTTTGAGTGCGCGTCTATCACGACTAGCAACATTTTATTATAAAATGGGCCAAGAAAATCTAGATGTACTTTACTCCATGGTTTTTCGGGCCATGGCCATGGTGTTAACTGTGTTTTAGGCGGATTCTTTCGGTCTTGCATACACGTTACACATGAATTTACCATAAATTCGATATCAGCATCAATGCCTGGCCACCAGATATACGATCTTGCTAGTGTTTTAATTTTCACAATTCCCAAATGCGATTTGTGAAGTTCCTTTAAGATATTCGGTCTTAATCCTTCCGGTATAATTAAACGATGCCCCCATAAAAGACAACCATTATCTACCGAAATTTCTAGACGTTTATTGAAAAATATTTTTTCGTCTTGCGATAGTATATCTGTGTTCTTTGGCCAACCATTGATTACAAAATTTTTAATTTTATTTAATAATACCGCTTTTTCGGTTTCGTTCGCTACAAGTTTAATATTTACATTTTCTAAACCTTCTTCTATATAACATAGCGGCGTAAAATCACTCTCAAAAATATCTGTATCGTCTTCTATCGGTAACCTTGACAAGGCATCACAGTTCCCGTTTTGTTGTGATTTAATATACTCAATATTATATTTAAAACCTGATAGAAAATATGCCCATCTTTGCAGTCTGTTAGCTGCTGTAAGAGGGATACCTGTTTTTGAGCCGAAAATAAATTTCAAAGGCTTGTGGTCTGTTCTCAACGTAATTTCTCTTCCGAAAATATAGTCATAGAATCGTTTAAACCCGAAAACGATTGCTGCCGCCTCTTTGTCTATAATCGCTCTGCTATTTTCTTTTTCTGGTATTTTCTTTGAGGCAAAAGCAATCGGACGTTCAGTGCCATCGTCGAATTTATGCGAGAGCACTGCTGATAGACCGTAAACCGAAGCATCACATGCTAAAATTAGTTCTTTCTTTTGATCATAATGTGCTAATATAGTTGGTGAAACTATTTCTTTTTTTACCCACTTAAACTCTTCCTCGCATTTTTTTGACCATACGAATTTTTCTTTACCGGCGCATTCGTATAAATTTTTTAATTTATTAGCACGATTTGGCAAAAATTTTGCATAAAAATTTACTAATCCTAAGAATGATTGTATTTGTTTTTTATTTTCAGACTGCGGCGCTTCTAAAACCGCTTTCACTTTAGAGTATGCCTTGTGCAAACCATTTTTGTCGATAACATGCCCTAGGATATCAATTTTATCTTTCATGAAATTACATTTTTCTTTGTTAATTCTTAAACCGGCGTTTTCCATTCTTTTACAAACTTCTTTTAAATTTGCTAAATGCTCGATATCATTACTACCTGTTACGTAAATATTATCCAGGTACGAAATCGTATTCGGAATACCTCTTATAATATTTTCCATAATACCTTGAAATTCACCCGGGCAGGTCGAAACTCCTTCTGGCATTTTCGTATATCTATATAATCCTTGGTGCGTTGTTATTGTTAAAAACTGTTGACACTCTTTTTTTACCGGTATTTGCATATACGCGTGCGGCATATCGAGTTCGGAGAATTTTTCGCCACCTTGCATCGCAGCAAAAATATCTTCGATACGCGGCAACGGATTTTTATTAACGATAACGCTCGGGTTCAATGTTAATTTAAAATCGCCACATATTCTGACCGTTCCGTTTTTCTTTACTATCGGTACGATGGGTGTAGCCCATTCGCTAACTTCTACCGGTATAATGTGTCCTAGACGGTTTAGCCTATCTAATTCTTGCTCTATTAGCTTTTTCATCGCATATGGTACGTGTCTTGTCTTCAAAGCCGTCGGCGTTGTATTTTCTTTTAAATGTATGTTTAACTCTTCTTTATTGAAACACCCCGGTGTGTTTCCAAATAAAATTTTAAATTCGTTAGTTATCGAACTTTCGACCGAATTAATATTAAACATTGAAAAATTCGAAAATTCTCTCAGAGGCCACAATCCAAACATTGCTAACCAACGCCTGCCTATGAGCGGTGGACCAGTACCCTTGAAAACAATCCCTTATCAACTTATATGCTTCATTATCCAGTCTCATCAAAAATACTGGCACCCTTTTTGCTTCTGGAACATCCTTGGCGTCGAAATAATTTTCTAAACGTTCAATAAATGTGTCCCAGTCCCCTTTTTCCAGACAAAACTCTAGCTTCGTTGCTTCACTAGCCATTGTGGTTTCGCTGTCGCTATCGCTTACTATTTCACTCTCACTACTAATGTCAATTTTAACTCCTTTTTTCTCGACTACTTCAATACAATCTTCAAAATTCTCTTCTGTAGCTTTCTCTTCTACCTGAACTTTAGCCGCTTTTTCTGCCTCTTCTCTAATTGCGTTTTTTAACAGCTTCCTTAAATCGTCGAGTTTCTGGCCTTTCTCGTGCTCGATGTTTCTTTTTAGTAATTCTTCGATAACTTGATCTTTATTCAATTCGTAAAACCAACTAAACATATCACTGTTACTTTTTTGCACGAGCACATATTAATCGAAAAAATTTACTCAGGCCGGCACTTAAAAAATTACTTTTTTTTACCAAAACCGCAAGTTCGAGAATTGATCCTCGTCGCCAGTTGTTATATATGCAGTTACATATAGTTAAATAATGAAACAGGTTTTGGATAAAGAAGATGATGGTATTTATTAGTAGAGGTGTACGGAGGAAAATACATATGTTCGGCGTGAGAGTCTACGCGAGAGTGAGTCGGTACCTTAAGGTATAGCTTGTCAACTACAACCATAGCTATCTATATTAGCTATCTCTCAAACTACTAACAGTCGTGCGTAATTACGACTTTATACCCTTTTAACATACATCACATATACTTTATATGTTCTATCATCATAACCTGATGGTTGTTTCACAAATACTGTAATAGTGTCGGCCATCCGCGGCCGACAATATATTAACTATTAACAATTCTTTAAATAAAGGGGAAGAAAGGGAGGCAGTATATCACAAATGAACGACAGAGCATACGAGGGGGGTCAATAAGTCTTTACAAAAAGAAGAATAAAAAGTTTTGCGTATGTCATTTTTTTTTATTTTTCAACATAATCTCCTTGAAGGTCGATACATTTTGTTAAACGGCCTTCCAGTTTTTTCAAGCCATCAGAAAAATATAATTTCTGAAAACCCTCAAAATAAGCATTTGTTTCGGCGATGACTTCTTCATTCGACGTGAATCGTTGTTCGGCAAGCCATTTTTTGAGGTTAGGAAATAAGAAAAAGTCACTAGGAGCCAAATCAGGCAAATATGGTGGATGGTCAATTAATTCGAACCTTAAATCGTTAATTTTTGCCATCGAAACTGCACACGTGTGAACTCGAGCATTGTCTTGAAGAAAAAGGTATTTTTTTTTGTTCAAGTGAGGACGTTTTTCTCTGATTTTGTCTTTCAACTAACCTAATAATGACGCATAATGTTGTACCCATGTTTCATCTACAGTTACGAGTCGACGCCAAAAGTCTTCCGAATTACGACGTATGCGTGCCAAAAGAGCCTCAGAGATGACCACGCGGGTTTGTTTGTTTTCAACAGTGAGCAAACGCGGCACCCACCTTACTGATATTTTTTTCATCCCCAATTTTTCATGTAAAATTGAAATGATTGTACCCTTGTATACCCCTGTGGCCTCAACTAATTCTCGCAATTTTAATCTTCTATTACTCAACACCATATAGTGGATTTTGTTGACCATTTCGGGCGTACTCATTTCTACGGGGCGTCCTGAATGAGGTTCATCTTTTGTTGTTGTACGGCAGCGTTTAAATTCATTTACCCAATTATAAACAGTCTTAAACACAGGAGCAGACTTGCCACGAACGGCGTTTAACTCAACTGTGATTTCTTTTGGTGTAAGGCCTTTCAAATGAAAATGTTTTATTACCGCTCGAAACTCTGTTTTTTTTCCATTTTTCAAATAAACAAATAACTTGTTGTACAACCAACGCTCACAAAAAAACGACTTAATGAATCGAGCTGAAACTTTGTACGATATCTAGCTAGTAGTATTGCTTGCCAAAAATATCATAATTTAAGCGTGACGAGTGCCATCTCTTGGATTTTTTAGACTTATTGACCTCCTCGTAGAAAGAGAGATAGAGTTAGAGGCGTACGTGCCCCATGTAGGATCAGGCAGGCACGCGTCGTGAACCAATTGGCGCATTAGTCGCGCGCCGCCTAATAAGTAGGTCAAGTGGGAAGAGAAAGAACGAGGAAGAAGCTGTCAATCGCGGAAGCGAACGAACGACACAGACGGTAGCTAGACGATCTGCAGTCAAGACGGTTTAGTCGGTCAGCGGTACAGAGTCAAAAGTGCAGTTGAGAGCAAAAGGTCAGCCGAGCGCACACGCCGCCAAGGAGCCGAGGCGAACCGAAAGGAAAAGAGGACGAGTACCTTATTCCAGCATCTGCTTGGGACACTACTCGGAGGAGCCGATAGGAGTTGCCCAGCGACGGCCAGTAACATCATCCGCAGGGCGCAGCCAGACCTCCCGTTCCTGCATCGATGGTCAAGGCTCATAATCTAATATTTCTCTCTCTCTCTCTCTCTCTCTCTTCAGCGGTATAGCACAGCGTATAATCGTGAGAGTCAAGTAGGTAGCAAGGCGCGCATGCGCCAGCTACCTGCCCTCATTACGGTCGGCGTCATAAATTGTTCAGATAGAGTTCCGTCAAAGCGATCTCTCGCCGGGCGCTTTCTCTTTTAATTTAAGTAGGCTAAGTCGGTTCGTCGTCATGGCGGTCATCTGCCGGGCGACGCGTGCTGTATGTCTGTTAAATTTATAAGCGCGATAAGTTAGTTAATTTGTTCATTGCTCTGGCATTGTATTAGATGTTAAGAACACCGTTGTGTTCGTTAGTGTTAAAACGTATTTGCAACACCGTTGTGTTCATTAGATTAAGATTTGTAAAGCTGGTTATAAGTATAATTATACGGTTTATTAATGTACGATATGATTTTTGAAGTTAAGTGTAATTTCAATTTGATTTTGATTAGATTAGACTTGATTTGAATGCGATTTTGTTGTATGTATAATTTCTTAATTACTTTCATTTCTTTACCTTTCCCCCTCCCCCTTCTTGCTTCGATTACTATGAGCGAGTGCGCCTCACTTGCCCACCTTTTAAATTGATAACGAACGAGTTTTCGTTACAATCTATAAAAAAAATGTGCCAGCTCGGAAGAGCCTGGGACAACATGAGATGCCAACGAGAGAGAGAATAAATAGAATAAAGAGAGGATAACCCGATGACAATTTACAAATAATAAGAATGACGGCACGTTGTTGATTTCTCAATTGAAGTAGCTTTCACACGAATATTTAGCTCCCCTCGTGCGGCCAGTTTTCAGCGGACAGAAAATATCGATCTTTATGCTATTTACGCAAGGGTGAAAAATCATATTCTCGTGTTTATAATAAAATAGACAGCGCTAACAAAAATTTAAATTGTGTGAAAAATATAGAGGGTGATGTAGTTAATTTTAGCATAAACTACATTTATCGCTAAAATTGGAGTTAAAAGTTATTAACTAATGAAGTTAGTTGATACAATAGCGCAAAATTTACGATAAAATAATTAGAAATTGTTACATATAAAAATAGTTTATCGCTTATAGATAAAAGTTCAAAAAAGAACTACTCAAATTAGTTAATAATATTTATATAATAATTAATTTTGGTATTTTTGCAAAATCTTATAATGTAAAAATAAAATTGGTTAATTAAAATTAATAAATTATGACTATGTTGTCATTATGTATAGAATTAACGCTTTCGATTCATATACTCTCATTTGTTTAAAAAAATTATTAATTGTTTATTTAAGAAAACAATAATAATTAAGTTGTTGTCAATGAAACGAATTCTTATCATGTTTCTAAGATAGTTATCTTGAGTTCAGAGTATCCGCTTTATTACAATAATTAACATTTACAAATTTATAATCAAATTTAGTTTGCACATTAAAATTCAATACTATTCAATAATTAATAGTACTTGAAAATATAATAATCTTAATCTATGCCCTAAAATCTATTTAAAAAATACTTTGTTTCATTGAAATTACTCTTATAACGCATTTTAATTGATTAATAAAAATTATCATATCTATATCTATCAGCAAAATGACATCACACTCCTTATATGTTCATGAAATTTGACTCTAGCTCTAAGACAATCATATAATATGTGAGGTGGCGCTGTTTAATATACTAATTAATAGATGTAGATTCATGAGTTTAGCGGGTTGCAGTAAAATTGTGAAAATAAGGCTAAGAGCTCATATATAGGACCGTTACAATTGGTTCATTTAAAATTACTGACTCAAAAGTAAGAGTCATCATTTATTATGTGGTCTGTACGTCCACTGTTTAATATCCAATCTATTTTATTTTCCTCACATTTATAAATTTCCGCAACACTATCACTTTTCTGTTTTACCTGTGTTATCAATGTATTCATAGTAACTTCATCGCTGACTTTTTCATTGTACTTCGCGTCATGTTGCCCGATTGCTTTCTAGTGTTGTTGACCTCCTCTGTTTCTGCCTCTATAGTAGTGCTCTCGCTGTCCATCTATGCCTCCGTCATCTCGCAAACGCTGCAATTGATGTTGATGATGTGGATTTCGTCTACCTTTTTGTCAGTGTATTCCATCTTTTCTACCGTTTTCTCGAGTCCAAGATGTCCAAGGATTTTCACAATCCTTCTTTAAATGTCTGGGTTTTCTGCAGCCATAAAAAATTTTTCTTTC